ATTCTTCTTTCACTTCAAAATTAATTATAGTACATGTTCAAATGTGTACATTCTGTCTGTGTGTACACAAGTGGGCATTTGAAGAAATCCCTTGACTATTTCAGTGAGAAAAATACTTTATGTAAAACATACAATTGATTAAGGGAAAGTAGAGAATTTTGTTTGAGTTGTTAAGAGAATCACGGGATGTTAATTTCATTTTTGTGCGAGTAGAGCCATATTTTGAATAATTCATGTTTCCTTATGATCAAGTTTCCATGTTTTGCTCATACGTACTCTAGAGGTGATTATAGAATCTGAACCTGCAATGCATTACTGTGAAAATTTAACACTCATTCAATGAATTTCGTGGTGGTTCCTAATTTTGTCCTTTTCTCTGTGTAAGATGTGTCCTCTTTCAGTTTAGACCTCATTCAGTAACACCACTCTGACAGAATTTAAAGCAATGCAGATTGGAGGTTCACCGTGGTGTGTGTGTGTGTGTGTGTGTGTGTGTGCACGTGTTTGCCTCTTGTTTTCTCTTTGAGAGACGGAGACTTTGGTTTCTGCTTCTATTTCAAATCTAATTTCCTTAGAAGGGACTGGAAGCTGTTACCATCTGAAAGTTTCGACTATGATTGAGAAAGTGCAGCCGAATCAAAGTATCCATTTAGCGTGAATCGCTTTACAACTTGTGTTAATTGGCAATTGTAGGTGGTCTTAGTAGAGAGACGAATAACTGAACAGGAAAGAAGTCACAATTCCCAAAGTAGACCTTCTGGTCCCCACACGGTGTCATCCTAACAAGAATGTGCTAGGTTATTCTGCTAATTTCCCCAATGTGCATGCCGCTGAGGTAAAGTGGGGATTAGAGCTTTGCTATCTGGTCTGCCACCAGCCCCAAATTCAGTCACAAGAAACTGAAGGAAACTGTGTCAGACGCATCTTGAAGCATCTTTCTGATTCACAGCCAATTCACAATGTTCCATGAAGGGTTTGCAATAAAAAGTAATATGTTGGGGAAATTAAATCATGAATTGGAGCTGTTAATTACACACACATTGGTTTAAAGCTGAAGCAAATACTTCTATCTGCCCTTCGTTGCACATTTTGCATGCCTGCCTGTTCCTCTACTGCTGCTGCTCGGTCTGTTTCTCTCTAATCTACCGCCCCTAACACTTCCACTACCCAATTCCAGGAGCTAACACAAATGTAAAATGTAAATTGTGGCCTAGATTGTTGCTGCTGGAGTGTGGAGAGAGATGCCAGATTTTGCAATGGCCTAGATGTGTCAGGGATCAACTTCCATGTCCTTGCATCTCGACACCCTCTTCTTGTATCCATCACATTGCTCTTGGGTTTCCTACCCAATTTTGTTCTTTGACCAATTGTGCATATTTCCTTTGCTAATTTACATTTGCTTTTCCTTAGCATAGAAGACAACTCCTCTTTAGCTGACACCTCCTAGCCAACTTATTTTGCATTGGAATTCTCTTCTTTTCTACTTCTTTACTATAAATCCTCAGGGACAATTTTGTCAACATTTTCTTCCAGCAATAATAATGTAATGTATCTTACTATCTGTGTTCTTCCCAGAGTGTTATGGTATAATTGACAATGAAAATACACTAACTATCCTTGCCCTATATGACCTTCTGACCATAAATTGCTTTAGTTAACCTGAATTCTAAGACTATGGTCAAGTAAGAAAAAAGAGAGAAAGAGAGAGAGAGAGAGAGAGGAAGAGAGAAAATTAATAAAGTGCAGTCCCACTGTGCCTGGAGGCTATGGATAAGGAGAAGGTCATTGTGATAAAGATAGTGCAAGACAGTAGTGGCAAGAGAGGAGCCCAAGAAAAAGGTGATGCTCCGATCGTTATACCACTTCTGCAATGAGAATGCACATTCCATCCAGGAGGCAACAGGAAACAATCAACGGACATTTTGTCTAGATCTTACACAATTCATGTTTTAGAAGAACAAAATCCAAAATCTGGTGGTGGTGTTGATAGTTAACTGGAGAAGAGAGAAACGGGTGAGAGAAATTCTGTTGCACCCAATGACGTGACCCTGTTTAGGCTGTGTAAGTGTGTGAAAGGAGAGGAGGCACTGCACTTGGTAACAGTTCTGAGGCTAAGCCAATGATGCTCACCATCCCACAGATGTGACAGGTGAGAGAGGAGGAGTCAAAGTGCATAGTGACTTCCTTAACCAAAAGAGGGTAGAAAGAAGGAAGGAGGCTGCTAGGTGATTGCAAAATGACAAATGGTGTTTGTTTTAGTTGTGATGGATCTGAGATACCGAAAGACCCTCCAAAACTAGATGCCTGCAGCTCATCAGGTGCATAAGCCTGGTTTTGCATGATGGAGAAAAGAGAGAAGAAAAGGTGTTCATAAAAAGCATAAAAGTTATTGGAATCACTTCTAATCTGAGTGAAAAGTTAAAAGGATTGAGAGAACTATCAAAAAAAAAAAAACCAGCATTTCATGAACAGGCTTTGGGAGGAGCTAGTGATTGAATAAATGAATTGAGGACATGAAGAATCCTTGCTGCAATACCGAAAGAGTGCACCTGCCAGCTGAGCCGCCGGGGTGTGGGGGAGTCCCCGATTGAGTGCTGCCTGTAGTTTATGCTCGTGGAATCAAGACCATGGAGGAGAAGACAGATTACAAACAGCATTCAGGCCTCAGGTCACCCTGGGAACCAGTCCAACAATCCCCTCTAAGAACGGACTCTGCTTCTTTTGGATCAATTTCTAATGTTGCACCACAGTAAATGCATAGACTCCACATGAATGGCACATGAATGTGGTCTCTTTGGTTAATTTTTCCTCTCCAGAAGTTTCTAAACTCAGAACACAGCTTGTGTGCTTCAGTACCTAAGAAGGTCCATTTAATTGAGAATATTAATGCCTTAAATAGGCAAAGTAAAATGGAGATTTTTCCAAATTCTTAATATTCCTCAGAACATGAAAAAATACTGTAACGACAAATTGAAGCAAAAAGTGCTCTTAGCTTAGGTAATGTATAAAAAGTATGTTCGTTTTGTGTTTTATATAGTAAACATCAAAATGACCTTTCTTTAATTCTTACTGATGTATATTTCTAACTTGATTTGTTTTTATTAGCTTTGGAATTCTAGTGACTCTTGATAGAGGATGATGAGCATCAAGTCAGAAAATCATTACTTAGGCTTTTAATGAAAAGAACTGTGTTATATCTATAGTGGCTACTTCTGTTCTCAAACTAATGCTTTATTTATTTAGCTGTTCATTCTAGGAACATGAAAAGCATGTTTTAGAAACCCCAAAATTAGCCCTGGGAACAGATGAATAAATATGAAAACAATTTATCCCTTTAACAGCCTAATAAAATATGTTTTCATTATGCTAACTGACCCTGATAAATGCAATAGCCATCAGTTAAATATATCCATCATCCTTGAGAAGCATAACCAAATGTTGGCTCATTTTCTGGTCCTCAATGAGCCTTCGTTTCATGACGATCATTAATCGTGACATCTATAATACAATACCTTCTTGGCTTTCATTTTTTAAAAAAAAGAAAAAAGGTAAGGTATTTTTTTCACTTCAAAAAAAGAAAGCTTTGAAATCCTATTTCAAGCCACTTTGAAAAAGTCAAATTTCGGTCTCAATCATTTAGGGTCCTCTTCCTCATTCTTTGAGATATTTTCAATAGCTATATTAATCACCTTTTACTGTTACAGAGTTAATGGTATTAATTTTATTTTCTAAGCAAAAAAGCATTAGGTACTGAATTGTCTCCTTTGTGGTGGAGGCTGAAATTGAAATTCTGAATTCTCTTTGTTGGGGGTGACAGTCATGTAGTTTTAAGATCGGTCAATGGATGGCACAGACACAGACTTTAGTCTCTGCTTCCCATTCTGCATTTCAGGAAGGTAAATGAGGGCAAGAAGAACACCTCGAGGGACCTGACACCCCACCTACCTCAGGTTGCTTCTGCCTGGGCACATTCCTCAGCTCCCTGGGAAGAGGCAAATCTAGTGGGGTATGAGCCATGGGACAGCCAGACACGGGCAGCTACTCTGCACCAGCTGTGCCAGCAGGCGTGGCGGACACCAGAAAGGATTGGTGTCCTGGGTGACTCTCCCCAGTTAGCAGGTATTTTTGATCAAAATGAGATGTTTATGCAAACAACCCAAGAGAAGTTTCCTAGCCATTTCTCATTCTCTATTTAATAACCTGTCCCTTGGTTTTGTCTTCCCCCTTCCCCATGGGGCATTGCTGCTCCAGTGCCTAAAACCAGGAACACGTGCTCTTGTTTGCACATCTGGCCTGGGCAAGCCTGGCTCCAATTTAAAAAGCTACATGTTGGTCCAATTCCATTATTGGACAAGGAAATTCTGTTAACTGGTGGGCTCATTTGCATGTCATTACCCACAATGCCTACCCAGCCCACAGATGTTTCCCAGACACAGGGTGGAGGGGGTGAGGGAAAGATGACGCTTTGGAAACAAATAGAGAGATTTGTGTATATGTTACTCAAAATTCTTTTCCCTCTGTTTTGTATCAAGGAACAACATGTAAAACAAAGTTATGGATTTTTACTGAACTTGGAGAGAAATTTTGCACATATTTGCAGAAAACTTAAACAATTGGAAACCAGAAAAATCAACACCAGGTAAGGCTCTATTAAGTCATGCTGATTAAAGACTTCCACACTATATCGTAACAGTTTTTTTTTCCTTAAATGACATTAAATCAATAAAAGTATGGAGGGCCTTGATAGGACCAAATTTTGATAAAAGCCACAGTCTGCTAAGAAGGTTTCAAATTAAAGGAGTAGCATTCCCACCATTGCGTCTTCAACCTGAACTCATTTAGTCACTATGTCAATGTCTCTGGAAGGTTTTTACTATTGTTTTGTGAAAAGTTTCTAAAGGGTTCTGCGCAACAGCTGCCAAACAGCTCTGTGCACAGAAACACATGACGACTTAGAATGCCTACAGTGGAAGATTTCAGGGTTGATTTTATTTACTTACATTTTACAAAAGAATGGAATGCTTCATTCACAACAGAGAGACCTAAAAAATAAAATAAAATGAAATACCATAATTGCTTTGGGGACTGAAGTTAAAATGCAGGTGTTTTGAGGGGAACATAAACATTTTTTCCTAAATGAGGCGTTGAGGGCTGGGAGAAGGGCAGTAAAATTAGTGGAATTACTGCCTGATTTTAACCAGATGATTGCTCCAGTTGGACACCAGCGAGTTTTCATTAGGGACTCTAATTTACAAGCCATTCAACACATTCCAGTGGAACACAACAACTCCCCCAGGTCCTAAAGAATGTCAGCTCTCCCACTTTACGGCAGAGATGTTGAACTGCAAGGCTTTTAAAGGCCAGCTTGACTATGGATCGGAGCCCAAGCTGCATGAGCGAGAGATGATCACCTTGTCTCCTTGAACGGCATGATCCCAGGGAACCAACTCCACACGCTTCGCTCTCAGTCTATGTACATGATGCTCCCATGCTGCTATCCTGTCAGAAATGTCGGTCAGGAGGTGTTCTTGGGATGTCCAGGGAATGCTATTTGTTTGCACATACCAGTGATAGGGTCCTTTATAACCTGCACCTGTAAAATAGTGACTATCCTTGTTTCTGTCCCCACTGATTTGCTGATTGTGCAAGCTACTTTGAGAAATAATTTTCTAATGTTATACAACACTTGCACTGCTGTTGGAATTGGATTTCTGTGGTCTACACCAATACATTTAAGGTACTTCTGCTGTGATATGTCAGTACACAGGGTAGAAAGACAATGCCAAGTCAGGACTACAAGTTCTGCACTAACCACAGGGTCCATAAGGAGAGAACTTGTGTGAAATCCTCCATAATGAAGGTCCTAATTCACAGCAGTATGTCTTGTTGAGTCATCAAGAGCATAACTAAGTAGCGTGGAGGGCAGACCAGGCAGGGCTAGACCGTTTGGATATATAATACTCCAGAATTTGAGCCTGGCTAGCTTCAAGCATTAGAAGTGGATCCTACATCAAATTAGCACACAACTAACTGGGATGTCAAGCACCTAAATAATCTGAAGTTACAAAATCTCTACAATGATAGAATATGGCCTAAATTGTGCTAGGTTATAATATACCTGTGGCCATATCATCCCAATCCATTATCAAGTAATAGCTTACAAGTGTAAATTCACCAGCCCTGTGATCTCTTACAGAGATAATCCTTGTATGTGATGATCACCTGGACTTGAACCATTCCCTTTCATCATTTGTAATGGCTGGTGGAAAATGGTAAAGAAAATCACCTAGAGAATATCAGTGCTTGGAGACTGGTGACATGGCGCACTAGGTTAATCCTCCGCCTGCGGTGCCGGCATCCCACATGGGCGCTGGGTTCTAGTCCTGGTTGCTCCTCTTCCAGCCCAGCTCTGCAGTGGCCTGGGATAGCAGTGGAGGATGGCCCAAGTCCTTGGGCCCCTGCACCCGCATGGGAGACCAGGAAGAGGCACCTGGTTCCTGGCTTCGGATCAGCGTAGCTCCAGCCATTGTGGTCATTTAGGGAGTGAGCCAACAGAGAGAAGACCTTTCTCTCTGTCTCTCTCTCTCTCTCTCTCTTACTTACTGTAACTCTACCTAGCAAATAAATAAATTAAAAAATAAAAGAAAAAGAATATCAGTGCTTGGATTTGTTTATATTTCAGCTGCATGAAATTCCACACTGCAGTTTAAATTAATTCAAGCTGTCTGAAACACCCACCAAATAATTATTTGGTAATTGGCCTAAAAACATATTAACTAGACAATTCTGAGCCTCTCTGAGGGTGACAAAACTTCAGGACCTCGTTTTCAACACTTGTATCTAGATAACCAACTTGTAGGTGAAATGAAAATCTAATTTATATGTGAAAGAACCATTAGAGGTACAAAGTCACTTTCTGCAATTCGTGGCTGAGAGGACATTTCATTTTTTTATCTTTTTTTAAAGATTTATTTTTTTTTGCAAGGCACAGTTACAGGGAGAGAGGGAGACACATACATTCACACACACACACACACACACACACACTCACAGGGTAGGGGAGATCTGCTATCTGCTGGTTCATTCCCCAAATGGCCACAATGGCCAGGGCTGGGCCAGGTCAAAGCCAGGAGTCTAGAACTCCATCTGGTTCATCCATGTGCATGGCAGGGGCCCAAGCAATCAGGCTACCTTCCACTGTTTTCACAGGTGCAATAGCAGAGAGCATGATCCGAAGTGGAGCAGCTGGGACTCGAACCCTCGAACCAGTACTCCTAGGGGATGCCAGTTTTGCAGGCAGTGGCTTAACCCACTGTGCTACATCAGTCCAGAGAGTGACATTTTAAGTCTGATATTGGGGTAAGAGATAAGGTTGAAAACTTTCCAATTTTTGGCTCCCCCAATTCTATACCAAAACCAAATAATTATTTTCTAAGCATATAAGAGAACTGAACCATTATGTTTCATAAATTCATCTAAATCCAACTTCTAACTCCTAGTCAAAGACTAAACTATTATCATTTTCACATTTGCCCAAAAATTGTTCATGAACTTTACTGAAAGAAACTCTGGAAAATAAACTTGTGGAATATTTCCCGCCTGCTATGAACTTGAGGAAATCATTACAAGGGCACTTTTTTTGAGATTAACAGAGTGGAATAGTGACTCAAAACAATCTCATATTACCCTATGGAATAGCTATTAATTATTCACTTTTCTAAAAATATTTATAAAATATTGCTAAGATTTTATCCTATTGAACAGACCTCTCTTTATACTTCATTAGGTAGAAATTGAAACTCAAGATGGTTAATACAAATAAAAGGAAGTCCAAGAGCCTTATAATAATTATCATCATTTTCTTTGTCATTTCAAAAACTGTATTTCTGAACTAAGTAACCAAGCTGTCAGGAAATATGTAGTTATTTAACATAACTATATTAACATCTATCCAACAAGTGAATTGTTCCACTTTGGTATCTATTTTCTGCATTTTTAAATTACTTGTGACTGAGTCTTTTAATAGTTTGTTAAAAGCACTTTTTCATAAAATTATTTTCTGAACTTCATTTTCTAGTATCTGTAAAATGATTCTATTAGATATACAAATCTCATCCTACTGTGTTGGGTTTTGACTTTGAGTTCCATCACTATAAATAATGTTTAGCACACAAAGGGAAAATAGGAAACATTTTATATTTACCCTTTGCGTATACTTTTGATTATTTCCTCATGGTAAGTAACAAAATTTGGCTTTTTATGTGAAGTATGTGCACTTGTTTAAGGCTCTTGATTCCTATCAATAAGGTACCCTTCAGAAACATTACACTGCACCAAATCTCATTCTCCTCATCATGTCTAGGAGAGCATTTTGGCCCACACAGGGCTCTTCTGAAAGTCTCAGTAGAAACAGAGAGTCCAGAGCCAGTGCTGTGGCATAGCGGGTAAAGTTGCCACCTGCAGTGCTGGCATCCCATATAGGAGCCAGTTCGAGTCCCGGCTTTTCTACTTCCAATCCATCTCTCTGCAGTGGCATGGGAAAGTAGTAGAAGATGGCCTAAGTCCTTGGGCTCCTGCACCCATGTGGGAGACCCAGAAGAAGCTCTTAGCTCCATGGCTTCGGATCGGAGCAGCTCCAGCCATTGCAGCCATTTGGGGGGTGAACCAGGGGATAGAAGATTCTCTCTCTCTCTCTCTCTCTCTCTCTCTCTCTTTCTCTCTCTCTCTCTTTCTCTCTCTGCCTCTCTGTAGCCTTGCCTTTCAAATGAATAAATAAATCTTTAAAAATAGAAGAAATATAAAGAGAGCAACAAACCCTTTAGAAGTATGTTCTCAACAAGATGGACTATCAATTCTATTTGGTCAGTAGTCCATTAGGAGACTCCATTTTGTCCATTGATTTGATACAGTGCTCATGTAAGAATACCAGGGAAATATTTTGTCCTCACCACAGGTTATAAAACATGAGAGAGGGTGGGTGTTTGCAAAGTGGTTAAGATGCCTGGGTCCAACATTTGAGTTACTGAGTTCAAATCCCAGCTGTGTTTCCAATTCCAGAATCGCCACTAATGTGCATCCTGAAAGGCAGCAGATGAGAGCAAAAGTAGCTGTGTCCCTGCCACCCATGTGGGTGACTAGGATTGAGTTTCTGGCTCCTGTTTTCAGCCAGACCAAGCCTCAGCTGATCTAGACATTTAGGTAGTGAACCAGCAGGTGGGAATGTGTGATCTCCCTATTTTTCTCTTCCTGTCTTTCAAAATAAATACAATCAATTATAGGAAAGAGAGGAAGACAAAGGGTGGGAGTGCAGGTAGGAGGGATGGGAAAGTGGGAAGAATCACTGTGTTCCTAAATCTGTATATATCAAACTCATTAAGTTTGTATTCCTTAAGTAAAATTTTAAAAAATTAAATGTGGCAGGACCCACAGTCTGCTCAAAGTCATTCAGCTAGCCTGACTTAGAGCCATGGTCAGTTGTTTTTCAGCATCTCAGCCTCTAACTAGTATTGAACTGCATCCTTCTCTCCTGCTCTGACAACTGTTAATCAAATACCAAACAGCCAAACATGTTGCTCTGTCCTACCCTTCTACCTGTCCACTAGCCAGCTCATCACCCAGGACAGACACGAGCAATGTGGGAAGACTAATCTCCGTCTTGAGCTTCACGTTTTCGCACCTTTGAACTTTTTGCTTCAGCCACAGCAAGACTAGCTCTGCATTCTGTCCACACTTCCAAGAGTTTAATGAGCACCTAGGGCCACAGAAAGAACAAGCACACTGAAGAGACTTCTGCCAGCAGCCCTCTCTGGGGTGCTGAGAGACAGAGGCAGCCCCAGCCCCAGCTTGAAGTGGGACTTTCCTTTCCTCCCTGTTTTGGAAGTCATTAGCCCTGTGTTGCAGTTGATGTTTAAACTTTACCCAAATGTCTGAGCAACCAGATGGACTACAAGATGACTGGGGTTTGATTTTCAGATAAACCACAAACCTGTATGAGCGCACGTTAGTCCAGATGCAATGTCTCCTAATCTACAGGAAGAGGCTCGACTGGCTGGGAGGAGAATGGAAGGCTCTTTCCTGAAAGAACACAAACAGCCATGTCTAATCCTGGTTCTGCCTGGAGAAGAAAATGTGCACCTTCCTCCCATGTTTGGGCAAGAATGGGAATTCCTCTGAAATGTTTAAAAATCCTGCAAAGCCAAGGCACATAGTAACCCTAAATATGAGTCATTCTTGGGTTATTAAAAACTGAATTAATTGTACCAAAGGAAGATGATCAATTTAACTTCCAAAGCAAAGGAATGCTTTTCATATAAAAAACAAAAAATCCACAAGTATACCAGTATCGCTTCTGACATTCCTGGGGAATGTACACCCCATAATAAAAGATAACTCATTTAATCATCTTAATCAAGTCATTACAAAAATACACTAAGTAATCACTTGCAAGGGCGATTTGCCACTGAGAAGAAAGAGGTTGTAGCATATATGCCAATATTTGTCAAACTGCCAATATCATGTGATCTAATCTATAAATGATGATCCCTATTGCTTCCTTGTAGACTGTTTAGAAAGTAGAGACTCTATTCATTCAACAGTGACTTGTTGGAAGCACAGTTTTCTTATTATTCCCGTATGCAACGTTTTCACAACCATGAGGACTGAGACTTTGTTGAAGATATTTTCGGAAAACAATTAGATTTAACAAATGGTCAAAGTTATGCAAATATAATATGAATGTCCAACAAGTCTTT